ATGTGCTTCAAAATTTTTCTGAGCCAAAACTTTCTTCATCATTATGCCTTTTGGACATTTCTAAGTCGGTCCAAGACGAAAAAGTTTATTCAATCAGCTCAAAATTTTCTAAGTCCCAAACTTTAGTTGACTCAAGATTGATCTCACGGGTAACGGGTAAGCGTAATACTATTTATAATGTAGGACGGGTAAGGATTCATTTGCATATACGTATACTGTCTGAAAGTTTATATGTCAAAATGTGCTTGAAAATTTTCCTGACCGAAAACTTTCTTCATCATTATGCCTTTTGGACATTTCTAAGTCGGTCCAAGACGAAAAAGTTTATTCAATCAGCTCAAAATTTTCTAAGTCCCAAACTTTAGTTGACTCAAGATTGATCCCACGGGTAACGGGTAAGCGTAATACTATTTATAATGTAGGACGGGTAAGGATTCATTTGCATATACGTATACTGTCTGAAAGTTTATATGCCAAAATGTGCTTCAAAATTTTCCTGAGCGAAAACTTTCTTCATCATTATGCCTTTGGGACATTTCTAAGTCGGTCCAAGACGAAAAAGTTTATTCAATCAGCACAAAATTTTCTAAGTCCCAAACTTTAGTTGACTCAAGATTGATCTCACGGGTAACGGGTAAGCGTAATACTATTTATAATGTAGGACGGGTAAGGATTCATTTGCATATACGTATACTGTCTGAAAGTTTATATGTCAAAATGTGCTTCAAAATTTTCCTTAGCGAAAACTTTCTTCATCATTATGCCTTTTGGACATTTCTAAGTCGGTCCATGACGAAAAAGTTTATTCGATCAGCTCAAAATTTTCTAAGTCCCAAACTTTAGTTGACTCAAGATTGATCCCACGGGTAACGGGTAAGCGTAATAGTATTTATAATGATCGGACGGGTAAGGATCATTTGCATATACGTATACTGTCTGAAAGTTTATATGTCAAAATGTGCTTCAAAATTTTCCTGAGCCACAACTTTCTTCATCATTATGCCTTTTGGACATTTCTAGGTCGGTCCAAGACGAAAAAGTTTATTCAATCAGCTCAAAATTTTCTAAGTCCCAAACTTTAGTTGACTCAAGATTGATCTCACGGGTAACGGGTAAGCGTAATACTATTTATAATGTAGGACGGGTAAGGATTCATTTGCATATACGTATACTGTCTGAAAGTTTATATGTCAAAATGTGCTTTAAAATTCTCCTGAGCCAAAACTTTCTCCATCATAATGCGTTTTGAACATTTCTAAGTTGGTCCATGACGAAAAAACTTTTTCGATCAGCTCGAAATTTTCTAAGTCTCAAACTTTAGTTGCCTCAAGATAGATCCCACGGGTAACGGGTAAGCATAATAGTATTCATAATGATCGGACGGGTAAGGATTCATTTGCATATACGTATACTGTCTGAAAGTTTATATGTCAAAATGTGCTTCAAAATTTTCCTGAGCCAAAACTTTCTTCATCATTATGCCTTTTGGACATTTCTAAGTCGGTCCATGACGAAAAAGTTTATTCGATCAGCTAGAATTTTTCTAAATCCCAAACTTTAGTTGACTCAAGATTGATCACACGGGTAACGGGTAAGCGTAATACTATTTATAATGTGGGACGGGTAAGGATTCATTTGCATATACGTATACTGTCTGAAAGTTTATATGTCAAAATGTGCTTCAAAATTTTCCTGAGCGAAAACTTTCTTCATCATTATGCCTTTGGGACATTTCTAAGTCGGTCCAAGACGAAAAAGTTTATTCAATCAGCTCAAAATTTTCTAAGTCCCAAACTTTAGTTGACTCAAGATTGATCCCACGGGTAACGGCTAAGCGTAATACTATTTATAACATAGGACGGGTAAGGATTCATTTGCATATACGTATACTGTCTGAAAGTTTATATGTCAAAATGTGCTTCAAAATTTTCCTGAGCGAAAACTTTCTTCATCATTATGCCTTTTGGACATTTCTAAGTCGGTTCATGACGAAAAAGTTTATTCGATCAGCTCGAAAATTTCTAAGTCCCAAACTTTAGTTCACTCCAGATTGATCCCACGGGTAACGGGTAAGCTTAATACTATTTATAATGTAGGACGGGTAAGGATTCATTTGCATATACGTATACTGTCTGAAAGTTTATATGTCAAAATGTGCTTCAAAATTTTCCTGAGCCAAAACTTTCTTCATCATTATGCCTTTTGGACATTTCTAAGTCGGTCCAAGACGAAAAAGTTTATTCGATCAGCTCAAAATTTTCTAAGTCCCAAACTTTAGTTGACTCAAGATTGATCCCACGGGTAACGGGTAAGCGTAATACTATTTATAATGTAGGACGGGTAAGGATTCATTTGCATATACGTACACTGTCTGAAAGTTTATATGTCAAAATGTGCTTTAAAATTTTCCTGAGCCAAAACTTTCTTCATCCTTATGCCTTTTGAACATTTCTAAGTCGGTCCATGACGAAATAGTTTTTTCGATCAGCCCGATATTTTCTAATTCTCAAACTTTAGTTGACTCAAGATTGATCCCACGGGTAACGGGAAAGCGTCATAGTGTTTATAATGATCGGACGGATAAGGATTCATTTGCATATACGTATACTGTAGGAACGTTTATATGTCAAAATGTTTATATGTTGTACAGTGTCTATATTATAAATCTAGTTTTTTTATAAGAATGCTTTTGCATGAGTATTGTGTTATTTCGTTACCCGCATAACCAATGCGCACGCGCTGGGTTATTGCGTCCCACAAGCCTTCCATCAACGGAGTCGCAACTGTATATACACGGAACCCGTACCATGTAATAATGTGTGGAAGGCGATATATTCCAGAATCTTGCGAAAAGGGTGTCGGCACATAATGGTTTGGGGGCCGCCGGCACTCTCCCCCGTAGTTCGTTAAGATTCAGTATGGTATATATCACCATGTCTGCAGTGTGGATTATAACGGTCGGCAATCGGCTATTTGCCGAACAAAAAGACCAAATGGCCGATCAATTTCATTCTGCACGGACATTTTGTCCGATCAAATAAAATACACCACACTGTTCATTTAAATTGAAGGTAGTTTATGTGAAAAGTACTTTTTGAAAAGCATCTAACTATGCCTACGATACCATGCAATCAATAAATATTTGGGTGAGAAAATCACTCAGAGGAAACATTGTCATTGAGCTTCTCTTTTAGCAAATACTCTCTCAAGTGACCGAATCTCGATAGTTACAGTCCATAGCCGGCGGCGTTTACAATACTTACTACTTACAAAAATATGTTTCATTTCTATAAGCCGTAGGCCTAGCTATATATTAGTAAATACCTTTATTTCCTAAAGAAACACAAACAAAGTGAAGGCGCGGAGGACGTTGCTAGTTGGCGTACGCCAAGCTTTTTTCTGCAGGCAAACGTGCAATCAATAATGGTACGTCGATCTGTAGCACTGTCACGTAAAAATGGTTGAAATAGTTGACTGATCATTCTTGGCCAATATCCGAGCAACAGTCTCGTTAATCGGACATTTGTCAGACCTAAGCAAAAACGTTATAATCCACGCTGCAGGTCTGGCAGCTAACACGAGACAACTCCCGTTCTCGTCGTGAATGTTTGCTGGAAATTTTTATTTATTTCTATTAATTTTTATTTACACACATATAAGATATATGTTTTCAACAGCAAAAATTTTCCTTTCAAAAATTGTCAACCTTTCACAATGTAAAACATGTCCAGCACGTTTTTTATATACATAAATTTCTGAATATTTAGAAAATTTCCAGCAGACAGTGAAAAATTTTCTCACAAACAGACGAATATACGAGCGTGCTCATGAGCATACTGGATGATAAGGATGCTAGATTTCGGCATACCCTGCAGTAGCCTCGGCGATTTGTCGCGATGAATTAAGGATATGGGATTTCGGCATACCTTGTAGCTAGCCACTGTTTGTAATGGCTATATGAAAAAGCAGTATGTGGCCCTTTAATTAGCTGCAGTACTAGTATAGTTGAGAAATCCGGGTAACGCGGAGCGAAGAACAATCTAAAAAAAAACGTATAAGCCTACTGATTAAGACGGATCAACAAGTCTGTAAGTCAAAATGTGCTTTAAAATTCCCCTGAACCAAGATTTTCTCCATCAATATGCGTTTTGAATCTTTTTAGGTTGATCTATGTCTATGACGAAAAAACTCGGATGTTCCATCAGTACGAAATTTAGTTGACTCGAGAATCCCGGATAACGGATAAGGTTAGTATAACTTATTATGAAGGCCGGACACGGATAACGAACATTTGCACTAGTCATCTCAAATTTGAAAATGTGTTTTAAATATACTATCTTCCATAATGTGTTTTAAATATACTATAGCCATAACTATCTTCATCAATATGCGTTTTGAATCTTTCTCGGTCGATCTATGTCCAGTATGACAAAAACAATTTTCCATCAGTCCGAAATTTAGTTGACTCGAGAATCCCGGATAACGGATAAGGTTAGTATAATTTATTATGAAGGACCGATAACGAACATTTGCATAACTCATATCAAATTTGAAAATGTCCTGTAAAATTCTCCTGAGCCATAACTATCTGCATCAATATGCGTTTTGAATCTTTCTCGGTCGATCTATGTCCAGTATGACAAAAACAATTTCCCATCGGTCCGAAATTTAGTTGACTCGAGAATCCCGGATAACGGATAAGGTTAGTACAATTTATTATGAAGGACCGATAACGAACATTTGCATAACTCATATCAAATTTGAAAATGTCCTGTAAAATTCTCCTGAGCCAGAACTATCTGCAGCAATATGCGTTTTGAATCTTTCTAGGTCGATCTATGTCGAGTATGACAAAAAAAATTTTTCCATTAGTCCGAAATTTACTTCAATCGAGAATCCCGGGTAACGGATAAGGTTAGTATAATTTATTATGAAGGACGGATAACGAACATTTGCATAAGTCATCTTAAATTAGAAAATGTGTTCTAAAATTCTCCTGAGCCATAACTATCTGCATCAATATGTGTTTTGAATCTTCCTATAGGTCGATCTATGTCCAGTATGACAAAAAAATTTTTCCATCAGTCCGAAATTTAGTTGACTCGAGAACTGACGAACTGAAATTCTTGTGAAATTAAAAACAATACTAGATTTTTGATTGTTTATCGAGACAGGCCAAACGACCTAACACTAAGCTACCAGGGAGGATCTGACATTCTTGCGAAATTAAAGACAATAGTAGATTGTTGTGATCTGCTTACCTCATGCGGTGAATGGCGGTGAATGCGGTGATAGAAAACCAGAGGATAGAAAACCATATGAAGTCAATACAGAATGATTAACTGGATTTCTTCGGGCCAAGTTCAAAATAGCAATATTGTATACTACTTGTAAAGCGATTTCTTACATAGAAGTATAAAAAGAGTAAAAAATATCCAGAATGAATAAAGGAAAAAAATATTGGGAGTCCGCTACAAAATATGAGTTCAACGGGATTTGAACCCAAACGTTAATCGAGACAGGCCGAATGACCTACCACTAAGCCACCAGTGGACGAACTGACGTCCTTGTGAAATTAAAGACAATAGTAGATTGTTGTGACCAGCTTATCTCATGCGGTGAAGGAGATTCTATTATGCGGTGAATGGCGGTGAATGCGGTGAAAGGATTCAATATGAAATCAACACAGAATGATTAGCTGGATCTCTTCGGCCAGGTTCAACATAGCAATATTTTCTTCTACTTGCAAAGCGATTTTTCACATAGAGCTATAAAAAGAATAAAAAATAGCCAGAATAAATAAAGCCGTGAAAAAATATTGTGATTCCGCTACAAAGTATGAGTTCAACGGGATTTGAACTCAAAGGTTTATCGGGATAGGCCAAACGACCTACCACTAAGCCACCAGCGACGATCTGAAATTCTTGTGAAATTAAAGACAATAGTAGATTGTTGTGACCTGCTAATCTCATGCGGTGAAGGAGATTCTATTATGCGGTGAATGGCGGTGAACGCGGTGAAAGGATTCAATATGAAATCAACACAGAATGATCAGCTGGATCTCTTCGGGCCAGGTTCAACATAGCAATATTTTCTTCTACTTGTAAAGCGATTTCTCACATAGAACTATAAAAAGAGTAAAAAATAGCCAGATTATATAAAGGGAAAAAAATATTGTGAGTCCGCTACAAAATATGAGTTCAACGTGATTTGAACTCACAGGTTTATCGAGATAGGCCAAACGACCTACCATGCACTAAGCCACCAGGGACGATCTGAAATTCTTGTGAAATTAAAGACAATAGTAGATTGTTGTGACCTGCTTATCTCATGCGGTGACGGAGATTCTATTATGCGGTGAATGGCGGTGAACGCGGTGAAAGGATTCAATATGAAATCAACACAGGATGATTAGCTGGATCTCTTCGGGCCAGGTTCAACATAGCAATATTTTCTTCTACTTGTAAAGCGATTTCTCACATAGAACTATAAAAAGAGTAAAAAATAGCCAGATTATATAAAGGGAAAAAAATATTGTGAATCCGCTACAAAATATGATTTGTCTCACTCGGGCATCACGAGGCAGGATGTGGAGAAAAAAGCAGTTTTCTTCCGGCTGTGTAATCGAAAAAGACGATAAAGTTAGAATTTTATAAGTGAGGGTTAGGGTTTGGGCTGTCTCGAATGTTATGTTCTATTGAATTTCAAGGTCCCTGTAGCGAAGACGTGAATTTGTCAGGGTCTGCAAATTATATTTTTATAATCTACGGCCCATAAGCTTTCTATCGATGCCTTACTCGTGTATCAAAAAACAGTATATGAAGAAACAAAGCAGGTTATTCCAGGTGCATAATCGAAAAAAGCCGTGGAAATTAATATTATGCGGTTTCCAACCTGATGTTCTATCGATTTTCAAGGCACTTGTAGCAGAGACCTGAATTTGGACTTGCCTGAAAGTTGCATTTTTGGAATCAGCGATCCATAAGCTTTCTGTTGGTGTCTCACTCGGGCATCACGAGGCAGGATGTGGGGAAAAAAGCAGTTTTCTTCCGGCTGTGTAATCGAAAAAGACGATAAAGTAAGAATTTTATAAGTGAGGGTTAGGGTTTGGGCTGTCTCGAATGTTATGTTCTATTGAATTTCAAGGTCCCTGTAGCGAAGACGTGAATTTGTCAGGGTCTGCAAATTATATTTTTATAATCTACGGCCCATAAGCTTTCTATCGATGCCTTACTCGTGTATCAAAAAACAGTATATGAAGAAACAAAGCAGGTTATTCCAGGTGCATAATCGAAAAAAGCCGTGGAAATTAATATTATGCGGTTTCCAACCTGATGTTCTATCGATTTTCAAGGCACTTGTAGCAGAGACCTGAATTTGGACTTGCCTGAAAGTTGCATTTTTGGAATCAGCGATCCATAAGCTTTCTGTTGGTGTCTCACTCGGGCATCACGAGGCAGGATGTGGGGAAAAAAGCAGTTTTCTTCCGGCTGTGTAATCGAAAAAGACGATAAAGTAAGAATTTTATAAGTGAGGGTTAGGGTTTGGGCTGTCTCGAATGTTATGTTCTATTGAATTTCAAGGTCCCTGTAGCGAAGACGTGAATTTGTCAGGGTCTGCAAATTATATTTTTATAATCTACGGCCCATAACCTTTCTATCGATGCCTTACTCGTGTATCAAAAAACAGTATATGAAGAAACAAAGCAGGTTATTCCAGGTGCATAATCGAAAAAAGACGTGGAAATTAATATTATGCGGTTTCCAACCTGATGTTCTATCGATTTTCAAGGCACTTGTAGCAGAGACTTGAATTTGGACTTGCCTGAAAGTTGCATTTCTGGAATCAGCGATCCATAAGCTTTCTGTCGGTGTCTCACTCGGGCATCACGAGGCAGGATGTGGAGAAAAAAGCAGTTTTCTTCCGGATGTGTAATCGAAAAAGACGATAGAGTTAGAATTTTATAAGTGAAGGTTAGGGTTTGCGCTGTCTCCAGTGTGATGTTCTATTGAATTTCAAGGTCCCTGTAGCGAAGACATGAATTTGTCACGGTCTCAAAATTGTATTTTTAGAATCTACGGTCCATAAGCTTTCTATCGATGCCTTACTCGTGTATCAAAAGACAGTTTATGAAGAAACAAAGAAAGTTATTCCAGGTCCATAATCGAAAAAGACGTGAAAGTTAATATTATCCGGTTTGCAACCTGATGTTCCATCGAATTTCAAGGCTCCTGTAGCAGAGACTTGAATTTGGGCTAGCCTGAAGGTTGTATTTTTGGAATCTACGATCTATAAGCTTTCTGTCGATGCCTCATTCGTGCATCACTAGGCCGGATGTGGAGAAAAAAGCAGTTTTTTTCCAGCTGTGTAATCGAAAAAGACGATAAAGTTAGAATTTTATAAGTGAGGGTTAGGGTTTGGGCTGTCTCGAATGTGATGTTCTATTGAATTTCAAGGTCCCTGTAGCGAAGACGTGAAATTGGCACGGTCTGAAAATTGTATTTTCAGAATCTACTGTCCATAAGCTTTCCATCGATGCCTTACTCGTGTATGAAAAGACAGTTTATGAAGAAGCAAAGCAGGTTAGTCCAGGGGCCATAATCGAAAAATATGTGAAAGTTAATATTATGCGGTTTCCAACCTGATGTTCTATCGACTTTCAAGGCTCTTGTAACAAAGACTTGAATTTGGGCTAGCCTGAAAGTTGTATTTCTGGTATCTACGATCCATAAGCTTTCTGTCGATGCCTCATTCATGCATCACTAGGCCGGATGTGGAGATAAAAAGCAGGTTTTTTGCAGCTGGGTAATCGAAAAAGACGATAAAGTTAGAATTTTATAAGTGAGGGTTAGGGTTTGGGCTGTCTCGAATGTGATGTTCTATTGAATTTCAAGGTCCCTGTAGCGAAGACGTGAAATTGGCACGGTCTGAAAATTGTATTTTCAGAATCTACTGTCCATAAGCTTTCCATCGATGCCTTACTCGTGTATGAAAAGACAGTTTATGAAGAAGCAAAGCAGGTTAGTCCAGGGGCCATAATCGAAAAATATGTGAAAGTTAATATTATGCGGTTTCCAACCTGATGTTCTATCGACTTTCAAGGCTCTTGTAACAAAGACTTGAATTTGGGCTAGCCTGAAAGTTGTATTTCTGGTATCTACGATCCATAAGCTTTCTGTCGATGCCTCATTCATGCATCACTAGGCCGGATGTGGAGATAAAAAGCAGGTTTTTTGCAGCTGGGTAATCGAAAAAGACGATAAAGTTAGAATTTTATAAGTGAGGGTTAGGGTTTGGGCTGTCTCGAATGTGATGTTCTATTGAATTTCAAGGTCCCTGTTGCGAAGACGTGAATTTGTCACGGTCTGAAAATTGTATTTTTAGAATCTACAGTCCATAAGCTTTCTATCGATGCCTTATTTGCGTATCAAAACACAGTTTATGAAGAAACAAAGCAGGTTATTCCAGGTGCATAATCGAAAAAGACGTGGAAATTAATATTATGCGGTTTCCAACCTGATGCTCTATCGAATTTCAAGGCTCTTGTAGCAGAGACTTGAATTTGGGCTTCCCTGAAAGTTGTATTTCTGGAATCTGTGATCCATAAGCTTTCTGTCGATGTCTCATTCGTGCATCACTACGCCGGATGTGGAGAAAAAAAGCAGTTTTTTCCAGCTGTGCAATCGAAAAAAACGATAAAGTTAGAATTTTATAAGTGAGGGTTAGGGTTTGGGCTGTCTCGAATGCGATGTTCTATTGAATTTCAAGGTCCCTGTAGCGAAGACGTGAATTTGTCACGGTCATAAAATTGTATTTTTAGAATCACGGTCCATAAGCTTTCTATCGATGCCTTACTCGTGTATCAAAAGACAGTTTATGAAGAAACAAAGCAGGTTATTCCAGGTCCATAATCGAAAAAGATGTGAAAGTTAACATTATGCGGTTTCCAACCTGATGTTCTATCGACTTTCAAGGCTCTTGTAGCAGAGACTTGAATTTGGGCTTCCCTGAAAGTTGTATTTCTGGAATCTGTGATCCATAAGCTTTCTGTCGATGTCTCATTCGTGCATCACTACGCCGGATGTGGAGAAAAAAAGCAGTTTTTTTCCAGCTGTGCAATCGAAAAAAACGATAAAGTTAGAATTTTATAAGTGAGGGTTTAGGGTTTGGTCTGTCTCGAATGTGTTGTTCTATTGAATTCCAAGGTCCCTGTAGCGAAGACGTGAATTTGTCACGGTCATAAAATTGTATTTTTAGAATCACGGTCCATAAGCTTTCTATCGATGCCTTACTCGTGTATCAAAAGACAGTTTATGAAGAAACAAAGCAGGTTATTCCAGGTCCATAATCGAAAAAGATGTGAAAGTTAACATTATGCGGTTTCCAACCTGATGTTCTATCGACTTTCAAGGCTCTTGTAGCAGAGACTTGAATTTGGGTAGCCCGTTGGATTCAGCGTAAAATTCTGATTCAGAAAGTCACGTCATCGAAAATTTTGGCCACGCCCTTTTTAAGTTAGCGTCGATATCTCCGCAACGAAAAGCGGGATCGCGACGTAGACACCACCGTTGGGTTCAGCATCAAATTCTGATTCAGAAAATGATGTCATAAAAAATTTTGGCAACGCCATTTTTAAGTTAGCGTCGATATGTCGGCAACGAAAAGTCATACCGCCACGTCGACACCTCCGTTGGATAGTACGGTGGCCCACAAGGGACATGCTGCAAATAAAAGAATTACTGCAAATATGTTAAAATTCGTTCAAATATAATAAATATTCTGCAAATATATTATAATTGCAGCAATTATATTAAAGTTGCTGCAAATTAAAATAAAGTTGTTGCAAATTAAAATAAAGTTGCTGCAAATTAAAGTAAATTTGCTGCAAATTAAAATAAAGTTGCTGCAAATTAAAATAAAGTTGCTGCAAATTAAAGTAAAGTTGCTGCAAATTAAAATAAAGTTGCTGCAAATTCAAAATAAAGTTGCTGCAAATTAAAATAAAGTTGCTGCAAATTAAAGTAAAGTTTGCTGCAAATTAAAATAAAGTTGCTGCAAATTAAAATAAAGTTGCTGCAAATTAAAATAAAGTTGCTGCAAATTAAAGTAAAGTTGCTGCAAATTAAAATAAAGTTGCTGCAAATTCAAAATAAAGTTGCTGCAAATTAAAATAAAGTTGCTGCAAATTAAAGTAAAGTTGCTGCAAATTAAAATAAAGTTGCTGCAAATTAAAATAAAGTTGCTGCAAATTAAAAATAAAGTTGCTGCAAATTAAAATAAAGTTGCTGCAAATTAAAACCTGGAATTTATGCGTGCGCATCCATCACGTGACTGTAGAAAATACGCCATCTTGGAAAAACAGTAAACATGCACAAAGCCAAGTGCATTTTGTGCAAATTTATTGTAAAATGTTCTGCTCTCATTGTGGTAAATCTAATCTCACTGATGCAAATTATTGCCACAAGTGTGGTAGTAAAATAACTGGAAACAAAGTAAACATCCCTGATGGCGAAACCATTAGCAAACGTGCAAGTACGAGTTCTGCAACTGGGAATACTTCAACACCGCCAACTACTTTTGCCCAATTTCGTGCACGCAAAGAGGATGATCGGAACAAACATTTCAAGAAAAAAGATGGGAAAAGAGTGAAACTCGACGGGAAATCCGTAGAGTCTTCAGAGGTTAAAATCAATATCGGAATTATGATATTAAAAGATGAAGCTCTCATCGTAAAAAGGGGTTTCACTCTTCCACTCACCGTACCAGCAACGATAACATACGACGATCTGTTAACTAAGGCAGTCGAGAAACATCACCGATTTAATAAAGGTGTCATTAAACACGATAAGACAATGTTCTATTATCTTCTTTATGGCGATAAGAGTAAAGCGACCAATTTACCTGGTTGCAATGAGCCTTTTACACTTAAAAGGTATAAAGAAGAAATAGATAAAGCATACACCAGGATAACCTTGTATTTGTGCCCGTGTTCAGACCACATCGCCAGCGTCTGGAATGAATTCGACTGTAATTGTGACACTGATGGATCAGACACATCCGAGTTGCAGTCACAGCAGCCAACATTGGCAGTTGAGCCTGAGCCAACATTGGCAATTGAGCCAGAGCCAACATTGGCAATTGAGCCAGAGCCAACATTGGCAATTGAGCCAGAACAGCCACCAACAACAATTGAGTATCAATGCCCAATTTGTTTTTTACGATTTCCCATACAGCAAATTGAAGAACATGCAGATAACTGTTCAGAATGGCTTGCAGAATCCGAGGAACCTGTAGAATTAATTGAAAGTAGTGGATCTGATGTTGAAGAACTGAAAGATCCTGAGCCTGATGTGTCACAGCACAAGAAATTACTAAAAGAGCAGATTGTAAGGTGTGCTAAAGATTTGTCAACTGAAGTGAAACGTGTAACTGTGCGAAGAAAATTTATTTGGGAAGACTTTAAAAATGCCAGGAAAAGCAAAATCCAGCCACTTTCCAATTTAAAAGTTGTTTTTGCTGGAGAACCATGCATTGATGATGGTGGGCCAAAGCGAGAATTGTTCTCTGGTAGGGAAACTAAATAGTTATGAGATAATGCACGTAATGATTTACTTTCGTTTAATATTCTTGCCTTGTGCCATAGCCTCGTTAGCATATAGACTGGGGAGGGGCAAATGTCCCTGTCCCTTGGTAAACTATATTGCACCCACCCCTAGTGAATGCCATTTTTGTAAAGAATGTAAGGGAAGAATAGTTAAAACTTAGGCCTGTTTTATAAGTCGAATTTTGGTTGCGTTGAATAAATATAAGGCAATAGATAATGAGATGATAAACCTCATTAAGGTTCATTATATATTGTTTCAATTGCTTTCGACACAATCAAAATTCGTTGTATAAAACAGGCCTTAGTTGAAAAAAGTGTGTTAGTACTTCCATAATCAAACCTGGGTACATTGTTTTCACATAGATTTGCAAAGTATATGGTGCATACCCCAGTAAACAATTTGCACTGAGAATAATCAGAGGTTAAAAAATTAATGTCCAATTACAAGCAAATAAAATACTACCTACTTTTGCAGGTATCCACCTCTCAAAAATGTTTGGCCTGTTTTGGTAGATTTTGCTTACTTTTCAAATGACATTTCACTCAGATTGTGTGCTAGAGCCCAATACTGCGAGACTGTGGATATTAATTTATACTGTGGATTTTAGACTGTACATAAACTGTAGCATTTACAATATATCCTGCCCATTATTTGCAAAACAGCATGGTTGCAGGGATTGATTTGACCAGTCCCAGAAGATCAGCTGGTTTGGTTTCCAGGGACAATTGTAAGGCTAATTTCTTGTTGGAAAACTCCTGAAGATGCTGCAAATAGCTTATCTGAGCTTCAAGAAATCCAAAATTTTCTGGGGGGCATGCCCAGACCCTCTAAAGGTTCACACCTTCGGTTATCGACTCGTTTGTCTCAAAATCCTATTTATAGCCTGATTTGCTGTCCCATGACATATACTTATTAGTTAAACCATGCATATATATATATATATATGTATATATATATATATATATATATATATATATATATATATATATATATATATATATATATATATATATATATATATATATATATATATATATGCTGGTATCTGCAGTGATGCAGGCCGATACAGACTTGCCGACTGGAACTTCTCCAGGTCCCCCGCTAAATATGTCTTCTCAGTCCAGTTACACATACTTAAAAGAGACCCTGAACCAAATGTTATACGTCATAGCAATATGTATTATTAAAAGCAATGCATGAAGCTAGAAAATTCAACGTTTACGGCTATAATTAAAGAATCTACATAGTATAAGCTATTGAAAAAAAAAACAATGTTGCGAAAGAGAGAGTGGCAAAAAAAATCGTACATGGTGATGGGATAGGAAAAAAAATATCTTGCACGTAATGATCGCAGAAAAAAATTCCCTGCCGGCAGTAAATCACCCTTCCCCCTCAAATGTTAAATAGTCGGCCCCTAATACATTACATTACATGCATATGTACACTGTACAACATGCAATTTACTGGTTTCTCTCAACAGAATTGTTGACAGTCATGCAACGTACATACTTCACCAACGGGTATCCTGTGCTGTCAACTATGGCTATAAATAGTGGAGAATTCAAATTGTGTGGAGAAATAATGGGGATGTCTGTTATGCAAGGTGGTCCTGCACCTCACTTTTTATCTTCACCAATAGTTGCACACATTGTTGGCATGCCACTTTCAACAGACGGAAACAAAAATCATAAGTACAAATCAGCTTGTGAAAGTGTAAGTATGGTTAATTAAATTTGTGTTAGAGGCTTTATAACCATCAATTTCACTGAGTTTAAGTAAATAACTTTTACTTTGTTCCTGGCCAAAATGGCAAATGTAATTTTACAATGGGCACAATTTTACAATGCTGACTATCCAGCCAACGTCATTTGTTCATGGTATGCAAACATATTTTTCTGCATATGCCTAATTAGTTTTTGAAAATTCACATAGTGCCAAAAATCATTGCTTCATTGTCCAGTTATAAGTGGGTTACTTACTGCTTTAACAAACAAAGTTTTATTAAACAATTGTTGGAGTAGGTTTTTGTGATATGCAGTACAAATTATAAAAGGTCAAGATAAGTGCCAACTGCCAAGCCGAAAGGGAACTTGATAACACACCTACAGTACCGACACCTTTCAAAATATTATTGGGTATCATAAAAACGAATTCTATAATTGTTTTAAACATTTCAAGGAAAAAATAGACAAAGTCACATATAGAATGTTTCGTCAGCATACTTTATATTTAATTACTGTAGTTTTGTGATCTCAAAGTCTTCCAACAAGCAGTTTAACCCACTAAGTGCCAGTGCTCTCCCCTTCACGATTAAAATTGTCTGATGTTATATTTAGCTCAGTCTTACTTAATTAATAGCCAATCAAAACAAATGTATCGACTGTACAATATGTAATAGAGGTTTTTATTTGTTTCCTTTTTACTCTCCCTTTTTTATCCACATGACATGGATCTAATATTACATCTAATGCAGTACAAAATCGCGTCATGAGGGACACATTAGACTGTGAACATTTTCCACTCATAAACTGAATTGTGATAACAGAATTTGCACTAAGAAAAACATGAATTTTATTTATAAATGTGTGAAATTAAAAAAATAAATATTTCTTGGAGATGTAGCAAATCACAAATGCACACATAAATGAATATTGCTTACATAAATTTAGTTATCCACAGCATCAACCGATGAACAAGTGAAACAACTCCTCACTAGTGATGCCATCTTAGACATACTGGATGAAATCGGTTACAGAGGAATTCCGCAGAGGGAAACCTTATCTACTGTGGATGTCATTGTGCAGTAAGTGAATAGAAAAGAATGGAGTTTTACTTTCAAATTGTTTATAGGAATTATATTCTTAAGCGGACTAATTTGACTACTCTTGTTTGTAGGGCAATTTGTATCAAGGATCAGTTGAGTGAATTTCTACCAGCACTCCTCCAAATTGCACACGGTTTAGAAGGATGTGGATTGTTGGAAGTTATCAGAAGAGCTCCTATTATTTGGAAACCAGTATTCGGTAATGGTAATTCATTTCAGATTACCGCTGATGAATTTCTAGAGCAACTGGATGCAGAATACTGTGATTCACAAATAAAAAAGGATGCTGAGATAGATACCTTCAAGTTTTTTTGTGACGCAATTCAGAATATTGATGGAGGTTGGTAGCTTATAAATGATTGTGATAATTTTCGATAAGTAAATTTTCGAATGGAATATTGTGGCATCACGGGACTTGATTCAGTAATGAAAAATATGATATTTTCTTACCTGAAATACATATGGTTTGTGGTTGCACAGCTTTTTGGTCAATTAGAATGGGTTTTGTTTGCTTTATTTTTTTATGCTTGATTCAAGTTACAATTAATTTAATTGCTCATGGTCATGATGCCCATGGCAAAGAAATTGGCGAAGAAAGCTCTAGCCAACTCTGGTGACGTGGCTCCCAACTTTTTTGAATATTCAAACAGGCCTTTGATATACACATTAATATTGGCTTTCCAAACTCATTTCAGGTACAGCAAATGTGCAGCTGCGAGATTTTATCAAGTGGCTTACAGGAACATACACCACACCCCCACTTGGCTTCCCCAAAAGGTTTTCAATCAAATTTGTTCATGGTTGTCCTGCAGATTGTGCGTGCAGACCAACAGCCTCGACATGTGCAATAAGTATGAATATTCCGGTTCATATCAACAACGAAAGTATTATGAATGAGATGATTGCATCTGCTGTTCAAGAATCACATGGCTTTGGACTGATCTAGAGTATTCTACTGTACTTGCTGTGTTTCAATGTCAAATAGTATCAGCACCGTACTAGCATAATCAAATTAATACTTAGTTATTGCAAGATTGTAGTAAGCATTTACCGTTTTGTCTCCAGGTGACTAAGCAGTAAGCATTGACTTATGTAAGTATAAGAAGTTATTCGAGATATAAACTTTTTTATTTCTACACTTTTCCTGTAATGCTAATTGAAAAAGCTTTCAATTAGAATAATATTCAAACGTTTAGAGAATCCATGTTTTTTTTTAATTAACAACCGCGCTCAACAATGCTCTGTCAGAAAGTCATCTGGAGATACATAGTTGTTGTTACATTTAAGTTTATAACTCTTTATAACTTTAGAGTGTTGGGTGAACATCCCTCCATTTTAACATTGTATAAATTGGGAAAAAATATTTACATTGTTTTTATGCCAAAAGATGCTTAAAGGGCCCCCTACAGTAATTTTTTAATCGCAAAGCCACCTTATGTAGGGGATTCGACGGAGATTCGTTTGGCTGTATCATGAGCATGAGTACTTCTGCACACCGGAATACGCATGCATGCTGGTGTGCGCATGTCAAGTAGCGACAATAACAAAAAAATGTAAACAATACTTAAGGTGGCTTTTCAACTAAAAAATTACTGTAGGGCCTCTTCAAAAATTACACATGTTGTATATTGTTGAATTTTTGAAAAAGATCAAAAGCATTTTCTACGTTAGCAGGATACTCCCAATCTTCTGTTTCCATAGTGTACTCAAAGTATTCTTCATGTAAGTCCTCCTCTATATCAATATGGCATTGTGGTTCGACTTCATGTAGTTTAGCTTGAGGAACAGGTACAAGACAGTCAACAGCAGCAGACATTTCTGGAAGGTAATACAGGATGTCAGGTACCCCAGGGACAGTGTCATGTCGTGATCGTCTTATGTAGTGACTGTTCCACTGATCCATTACTTTATCAAGTTCATTTTGGATTAATCTTGAAAAGCAGAACCATAAACATTGCATATGGAAGTTGTTGCCGAGTTCCAGAACTCCGGATTCACACATATCTTTGAATAAATTAATCCACCAACTTGAGTTGCTTCGCCGAAAAAAAGACCACCAGGCTTCTATACGTTGGTTTGCTGGCGATGACCCATACTGGTGTGCTTTTGTGCCTGCAAATTCATCATTTCCATCTGCTCTAAAATAAGACTGCATCCCAGCAATAATAACATTCTCGGTGCCGCAATCCGACCGTACAACACGGGGACACCCTTTCACATTCTCAACAGCATCAAGATACAATCTGGCAGGAATCTTGGGGTTATTGTTAGATTTCACAAGTTCCAACCAAATTATCTTTCTACTATATCCGCAAATACACCCGTGGATAGGAAACCCATAGGGTTTCAGCTTGTCGTACCCTTAATAAAATGAAGACATATTAATTAGTTCTTTGTAGGTTTGCATGGAGATAAAACATAATACTTTTTTGTTTGTGGAAACACCACGTAAATGCAAATATGCATGAAAATGCGGGGGTATTATAGTAATTACTATTAGCATGATAAAATTACTGGATTCTGGTCGGTTGAGAGGAGTACAATTATTAATTATTTATCTTCTGTAATCAGTGGCAAATACTGCAATTTCATTGATTTACATGAGTGGCGATTTGAGCATTGATCGCACCTTTTCTGAGCTGTAATCGCACTCTTGTCTACAGCCAATGAAAATCAGTCTAGTATAACAAACTTTGAATTTTATTTTCTTTATTGCTGTAAACAATTTCAAAATGGAGGAATTCACAAATTTTGAAAATTTTGACCTTTTAATTTTTAAATCTGCCCTCGAAAAGCGTCAAAATTGAGGTCGGAAAAAAATGCCGACCTAAATCTGACCTAGCTAACATAGTGTCCAACCCCCTCCCCCCCCCTCCGAAAAGGCGTATATCGCTTCTCATCTCCCTTGTAATTTAATAATGAAAATAATAAAAATCTGTACCGTCAATGTGCCATGCGAAATTTGGCCCAAGGGAAATGTAATTTCTTCTTGTCAACCGCCCAGCTCTCCTCGCTCTAACTCCATCAGGGTCGATTTCTTTCATGATTATCGCTACTAGTCGTCGTGGGACATTCAGATGATGTCTCAATCTCAGGGCATGCCAGATATAACGATACCCAGCCAGGCTACCTGCTTCTTGCATCTCCTGCTCAATACACTGTCGAACAGTTTCTTCGTCATAATTAGCTTCTCTTCGTTTTAATCCAAGCTCCTTGAGTTTCCTTTTAAGTGTTCTTACATGGATCTGTACTCCTTGGTGCTTTTTAAGCAAACCTAAAATTGCACTATATTGATAGCCACGATAAAAGTAATCTGTTATTATATCATCAATATTCGTTCTTGAACCCTCCGTAACGTCAACTCTACAACCACATGCGTGACAAAAAAATGAATCGGGCTCACAAACCACGCCACATGAACTGCAAAACATCTCTCTTCTTACTTCTATCTTTGTCGTTAATTTGGCAATTTCAAAATGGCGAACTTCAATGTTTAATTTAGTTTTGAACTTGAATTTATGCGCACGCATAAATTCCTGTTTTTAATTTGCAGCAACTTCATTTTTAATTTGCAGCAACTTTATTTTTAATTTGCAGCAACTTTATTTTAATTTGCAGCAACTTCACTTTAATTTGCAGCAACTTCATTTTTAATTTGCAGCAACTTTATTTTGAATTTGCAGCAACTTTATTTTAATTTGCAGCAACTTTATTTTAATTTGCAGCAACTTTATTTTAATTTGCAGCAACTTTATTTTTAATTTGCAGCAACTTTATTTTAATTTGCAGCAACTTTATTTTAATTTGCAGCAACTTCATTTTTAATTTGCAGCAACTTTATTTTGAATTTGCAGCAACTTTACTTTAATTTGCAGCAACTTTATTTTAATTTGCAGCAACTTTATTTTGAATTTGCAGCAACTTTATTTTTAATTTGCAGCAACTTTATTTTAATTTGCAGCAACTTTATTTTAATTTGCAGCAACTTTAATATAATTGCTGCAATTATAATATATTTGCAGAATATTTATTATATTTGAACGAATTTTAACATATTTGCAGTAATTCTTTTATTTGCAGCATGTCCCTTGTGGGCCACCGTACCGTCAGACTCCGGGACTCCGACTCCGGGGCTCCGACTCCGGAACTCCGACTCCGTGTTTTCCATCTAACCAAAAAGAACCACTGACAGCAACCCGGCAAATATTAACAACAAACTTGCATTAAAATGTTGCGGGGTTTTCCCCTGCTTATTCAGAACAGAAACAATGTGTAAATGGCTGCGTTTTAACTAAAAAAAGCAAGAAACGCAGTCAGCAATTGCCAAATTTGGAAGTTCTCATTCAACTAAAATCGGAACATGCAATTTAGGACGAATTTCAACAGAAAACCAGTCTCAAACTCCAAATCGTGAGGGGAGTCGTATGACAACATTAGCATTAAGCGTGCCCCGCTGTCGCCATTGTTATAAATAAATCGTCTCACTTATCAGATCGTGTGTGAATTCTTGTTGGCGGCGGAAAGTACGAAATTTATTTCAGTTATTTAATTTGGTAAAGAACTCTACAAAAGAAGAGAGCGTTCAGAGCGTCCAGATCGTTTTGTTTCAAACCGCAATTATCGTATTCTGTTTCGCTCCCTCAGCGAAGCCTTGCAAATCGCAAAGTGTTTCGAATAGGCTTACATGCAACTGCCTGTAAATCTTCACCGCGAAAAGAGATGTTTTCTTCAGTTCAAGAACAGAGTCAACATCAACCAAAAGGTAATTTTCTTGAGGAACATATAACGTATCAAGTCTGTTTGAAATTAATGAAATTCAAGTCGGCCTATATAAAGGTTAATGTAGTCTACCCCAGTCGTAATGTTGCTATTGCAACACTTCATGACAAGCAATCCCCATTGGCATAACGGCAAAAACATCTCTTCCTTCAGGTAAACAATAAACAATCGGTTCTTGTCCCATTTTTAATCGAAAGAAGTGATCAATTTTCGAATTTTAAGCTGATCGAGATCCTTTGTGACGAATCACTAATCTAATTGTAGAGTCCAACAGCAAACAGGCAATCAGATTTCTGCGTTCGTGGGCGAATGCGGAAAGTACAAAATTCCGGGCCTTGCTTGTAGGCCCACTATTCTTTCTCGGTTGGACTGCACGCCGGCTAACTTGAAAAGAACAATTACGGTTGTTTTATGTGAAGAGTTGAAATTTTGGCGCCCATGAGAAAATGTAATGTTTTTGAGTATTGATCAGCACTGAGCTCTTCGTTCGCCTTTAAAGGCGTATATCATACCACATTAGAAATGCTTTTGACCATCTCTCAATTAGGCAGAAACGCCAATCGATAAGAAGGCAGGCGGGGCAATTCGAGCATGAAGGGTGGTCGGTGGAAATTCGTAGCCACTCCCTTTAGGCTGGGATTTTGATGATTTCCAAATTTGTCTTCTAAAATCATTATTTCTATGTACAAATAGGTACTATACAAATCGAAAGGAATTGGAAAATAGCTTTATCAATATGACGAATAGTTTACCAGTGAGTTTAGTTTATTACCTCCGCCAGGAGGTTATGTAATCATCTGGGTTTGTGTGTGTGTGCGTGTGTGTGTGTGTGTATAACTCAAGAAATACCAAACATATTCATACGGAATATTTTGATGCATTTCCCATCGGCTAAGGAAGAACTGATTAAAATTTGGTTGAATTTGGTTAAAAATTGAATGAGAAATGAACAAAAAAATTTCTTGCTTTTCTCGGTCAATTAAAAAAAACTAACTGAATGCATAATTAGGACGTGTATAATGTATGCACACAGTACTAAGACAACAATAATGAGATGATAACCCTCATTAAGCTTCAGCCTTCATTATCTATTGTCTTAGTTGCATTTCACACAACCAAAATTCAATCGGGGCGGAGGTATACAGGGTGTATCAATAAAAACGCAACCTCGGAATTTCCTAAGAAATCACTTTGCAATTCTTAAGCATGAAAGATTTTAGGCCCCTGGGAATTGAAATCGAATTGCTAATAGATCATATTACTGTTGTTGTGCATTAAATAAATCATAAATTTTGCTTTATGCACTCGCGTGTGCAGTAATTTTGACAGTTGTGCTATTTTAAATTCCCAGGCACCTAAAATCTTTTGTCTTTAAAACAATGTCGATTTCTTGGGAAATTCCGAGGTTGCGCTTTTTTTTATACACCCTGTACAGTCTCTGAGTGGCCTCTAGTAATCTATTGTCTTAGTTGCATTTCACGCGACCGAAATTCAATGTCTAAAACAAGGCTTACGGAGTTACGCATTATTGCGTTCAGCAAAGTGCCAGTCCATTCAAATTCTAATAACACTAGATTACTTCAATACAGGGTATACTGTACAGGGTGTATAAAAAAACGCAACCTCGCAATTTCCTAAGAAATCAGTTTGCAATTCTTAAGCATAAAAAATTTTAGGCCCCTGGGAATTGGAATCGAATTGCTAATAGATCATAATTTATTACTGTTGTTGTGCATTAAATAAATGCATAAATTTTGCTTTATGCATGCACTCGCGTGTGCAGTAATTTTGACAGTTGTGTCATTTTAAATTCCCAGACGCCTAAAATCTTTTGTCTTTAAAACAATGTCATTCCTTGGGAAATTCCGAGGTTGCGTTTTTTTATACACCCTGTATATGAAAAACGCAACCTCGGAATTTCCCAAGAAATCGATATTGTTTTAAAGACAAAAGATTTTAGCTGCCTGGGAATTTAAAATAGCACAACTATCAAAATTACTGCACACGCGAGTGCACAAAGCAAAATTTATACATTATTTAATGACACTTCATAAGTTTTTATCCCCGTTCCGATGGCGCGAGGGTACTAATTCCCCCCGGCTACTTACACCCGGGAAAACGAAAGCATTAGCGAAATAGCAACCATTTCTTGATTTGATGATTGATAAATTTCTTGCAAATATATTTCATTTTTTCTCGCATTTTTGCAAGATTTTGTGATTTCAAAACCTCTCTCAGAAAGAAACTGCGAAAGAATCGGCTAAAAGAAGGGAGGCGACGTTAACAAAAGTAAGCTTGTTTAAAACATTGATTTTAAAATGGTTTAAAACCCGACGGCCTTCGACAACTAAACAACCTTGACAACTAAACAAGACAGCATATAATTTCAGTGTATCTTCAATATTGATTCCCTTTTTTATTATAGTTTATTTTTTAAATAAAAAAGAAAGCAAAGTTATTTGCATGCGAGATACATTTAACTGCAGTGTTTACTTTTGCAAGTCTATTTTTACCGTTCAATTATTTTGTTTGCGAAGCGTTTGTGGTTGAATTTTACCTTAAATTGAAGCTTATATTACGCATAATAACATGCCTAACATATATGTTGGGAAATTGATAATTTTGTAATTGAAAGTGATATTTTTAGGCGATTTTTCATTTGTAAAAAAATTCTTAAAAAATTATCGGGTTACCATGACAACTACTTTAGATACTTCATGTTCGGAAAATGCAATGGTTTTGTCAGCAAAGCGAGGGTTTGTGCATGCTTGTATTTTCTAGCGATAACTGATAAGCTCATTGTAATGTGCAAAATAGTGCACATATATAGATAACATTTGGAGCAACATCAGTTCTGAGCTCTCTTGCCAAAGCGTTCATTGCATTAGCCCTGTCAAAGCCCATCGCTGCTATTTTGGTGCGATGCAGCATTGATCTGAGGAGAATATCTTTCGTATAGTTTAGGGAGTTAGATGATATACCTTCAGTGCATTCGAAAATTCCAACAAAGTCGTCCGAAACTAATCGATTATTTTTATTACAATTTTTTTTTTCTGACGCCCTCGCAGCTTTAGATCAGTACATGATTGTTAGAAAATGCAATATACATCTAGCAATTTATCCATACAATTTACCGTTTCGATGCCTACTATGTAAGTAATTTTAAAGTTAATTTATTTTCTTGCTTGTCCAGGACTAAAATTATTAAAAAGCGACATTAATTATTCATATAGGTGCAGCGGACTAGACAAGCTGGCGCCTTTATAAAAATTCTGACAGAAATCGATAAGTGTATAAGTATATAAAAACATGAGTAACTTCACTTCTAAACGAAACGCGATAAGAAAGAAAACTTTGTATTTTTACTTCTAGCACTACTATCAATGTTTGAAATAGAAATCGTCTGACTAACTTGATTCTTACATCAGGGCGTTCACACATACTAAATACGCAAACTCGTTACGGAAGCTGTGTCTGTGCAAGTGATATCCAAGTATTGTTATAAAAAAATTAATTAAAAAAGAAAATATTTCCAAGCAATTTATACATTTGAAATAATTTAGCGACAGTAAGACGTCATTATGACGTCACCAACCTAACAAAGTGTCAACCAGACCATAATTGTATAAATTCTGGGATGCAAGACAAATAA